TAACTCGGACGTCCTCTCGCATTAATCATTTGGATTAACTGACAGCATTACATGATCTCAAATGTTTAAATAATAATAATAATAATAACGATTGCAAATAACCCCATCGACACCAATCACGTAAAATGTCTAACTAAATTTTTCTAATGGCGGTGGCATCGGGACACCNCATCGAACAACGCATAATGCGTCATATTTGCGATAAAAAGCAGCAAATTCCGGTTGGAGATAAACCAATAAAAACCAAAAATTAGAACAGTAAAATGTGGGAAATAAAGGATGAGAGCCAAAAAACAAGTGTGTGTGTAAACACTCAGAGTTGCAGAAAATCCCATTCCATTTCATATGTTAGTTTGTTTTAAATCCGGCCTTGATAGAGTGATCGAAACACTGGGTTACGGGAAACTCGTTGTCGATTCAGTTTCAACCTACCTGTTCAGCCAGTTCAATCTTCTCCTTGTTGAAACGTGACAACTCCTCCTCTAACCGTTCTCTGGCTGCCTCGGACACTGTTAGTGATTGAACTAGGGCGCTCTTTTCTGCTGCCAGTTCATTTTTGGACGTTTCTATCTGAATCATGGCCTCGCGTAGGGCGGATTTATCTGCTTCCAAACTGCGATACTCCAAGCCGAGCTGATTGAATTCCGACTCCAATGATCGGAATTGAGCCTGAAAAGCTTGCCGCTTGGAGCACAGATCATCGATACGAGCCTGGACGTGTAATAAATAGGATTCATGTTCATTATCATCATGCAGCAAAATGCAGTGAGGCGAACTTCACTGATCGCTCCCCAACTCGCGATGTATTCAAAGATTGTGATAATAAGTAAGGTGAGCAGAGATTGTACCTATTTCGAGGAATGGATTCATACTTAGCAGGATAAATGGAAGCCACTAACTAGCAGTAGATGGTACTCGATTAGTTGATCGCAAATCAATCAAACACATAGGAATAAAAGAAATACAATCTGCTCGAAATTCTTTTTGATGGCTTTTGATTCGATTCCCTTTCAAGAATTGAGTACAATATGGGTTGAGAGAAAAATGCGACCGAAGCATAAAGATATTATCTCCATATCTGGAGTTATTTTTAGGAAATAAATCCCTTGAAGTAAACGTTGTGGTAATTCATTGTGCAGCGTCAGTATTTTCGTTTGTTTCCTCCGATAAAGGATTGTAACTGTATGAAATTGCACCTTCAGAAGTGATGTTTTGCTTGACTAAAAGTAACTGTGAACAAAGTATCACTAAAATAATCCACTCATTTACTGCAAACAGCCCCCGAGAGGTTATCGAACATGACATATTTCCCTATTAAAAAACCTGGTTTTCGTCAATTCACACGTATTTGCTTGAAGAGGATAATTTGGCTGCATTTGATTATACAGAAACATCCGAAGAGACGCTCGGGGTTTTTTGAGGGCACACTCTTAGCGTTTCCGTAGACAGAAACAGACCGAAAGGTACATGGTTGACGGTGTTTCCGTATGCGCTAAATCGCCGTTCAATGGATGCAGTTGCACTCCAGTGCTTCGTACATCCCTGTTAGTTGAACGGGGTTCCTTCATAGCTGTTAGATTACACAGTAGATCTCGTCCGCTCATTTCCACTTGGTCGCCTTCACATGCCATTCACCGTTTCACTAACACCTTTAGATCTCTGTCCCCCTTAACCTGGTTTCGCCAGCATGCTGAGCGGTTTATCGGGGTGTGGTCGCTGATACATGCCTCAGTTTCGTGGTACCGCCAGTGAGAGCTGATCATATGGTGGCGACACTACAGTCAACCGACTCAGAGGTCCAAATCCTATCAGAATCCCCNAGAATCCCCATACACTCACACACACGCAGGTATTACAGATGAACGACAAATGGCATCACATTAAGCAAAGCACCAGTTACAATCTGATTCCATGAATGTCAAACCACGATTGTATAAATGTGACAGCAATATGTGCGTTGTGGCCCAGAACGCAAGTCTACTGAACCAAGAAATGAATAGAACTGAACCCAATAATCTAGATCAACGGATGTCCGTGATAATTTTTCTCAATCTAATGATTGCGTGTTTAGTGACATAACAAAATATGTTGAGAACACAGGCCAGTGCATTTGGAGAACACGGTATTCTGTATATTCTGTATACCGAAAGTTTGTTGTGAGCTTCCCGCCTCGGTGAATCCTCGAATAACCAAACGGTAAAAAGCATACAACAAAGGAATAAGCCATTTATGGAAACTCATCGCTTATTTTTTTCAAACCGAATGGAAAATATGTGAAATTAAAATGCCGATGATAACACTCCGCCAGACAGACTATTTCGAGACAGCGAACATGAGGTATCGCGATAAAAAGGGAACTAACATTCATATTACAGGTGAAGTGTATTTTAAGAGCGTTTTTGGTCGTAGTAAGTCTATTCGCCGTTCTGTGCATTCCCCTTACTCAAATGGGACAATAGTCCTTCATTAGTTGCTATTTCTTGTCCGTGCCCAGTCCCGTGACAGCCAAATGTTTAGCATCTACAACTGTATCGTATATGTTTCTCATGCAGCTGCCCAACACAGAGAAATATTCTGTCACTGAAAATGCATGACCCGTTTTGGCTCGTTTCTTAGGCAATGAATCATGAACTGGTTACTATAACACGTGCACCCTAATTCAAGAAGGCTGAAAGAAAGCCTTTTCCTATATTTTTATTGCATAATCTTTTATCATTAACAGCAGCTAGTTGAGCTAAACATATGTCATGATTCGGAATTGACTCGCCTGTTGTTTACTCAAACGCTCATTGTAAGTTGCTTCGTCATTACGAGCCTTAGTCAAATCCGATTCAAGTTCGGCACGGCGGGCTTCACATTTTGACAGAGCATCTTGTAAATCAGCACGTTCTGTGGCTTTGATTTCAGCCTCGAGTCGAGCGCATTGTAGAGCTTCCCGCAAACTTGTTCCCTCTTCCCGGGCAGCGGATAAACGTTCCTCCAAACCTTCAATACATCGCTGACACCGTTCCGTCTCCCGGAGACTTCGTTCTGCATCCCGGCTGGATTGCATCAGATCGTCTTCAAGGCGTTCACGCGCGCGTTGCAGTTCAGCACAACTATTCTGGACACGTTCCATCTCCGTCTGCAGGTTCTTCACTTGATCCATCAGATTGGCTCGAATCTTCTCCGACTCTGTCTTTTCATTCATGATTGTTTGCAATGATGTCTTGCATCGATCTGCTTCCCGTCCGGCCTCTTCGCGTTCCCTGCGTGTGGCATCCAACTCGGCTCGCATGCGCAACAGTTGATGTTCCAGGGTTCTTCGCTCGTTCTCACTGTCGTCCAGTTGACGTTTTGTGGTCTCGTATTGTTCAGTGGTACTTGTCAACTTGTTACTCAACTCCGAGACCTATAAAAAGGGCCATTAAAATTGCCCAAGAACATTAAATCTTTAGTGGCAATCTGATCGAGCGAATTATAGCTTAATACAGTTCAAGATTTTCTACAATATGAAGCAGAAAAATACAGACCAAAAACATTACCAAGAAATTACGATTTTTCCCTTAGCAGGGCTGAGGGTCTTAAAACCACATAACATTGTACAATTACTGACAGATAGTAAAATAAACTCCTATGTTAATAATCATATTTTACAAACTTCAATGTTTCATGGCTTACCTTACTACATGTATTCTAATACCCTCCTCTCCTTATTCCACGCGTGTTAACTGTCAAAATCTCTCACATCCGATGAGAATTCATTTCAAAACCGCGGTGGGCATTTGTTTTCTTTGTTAGTCTATATAGCTTATCAACTTGGGCACAACTTCAAGTGAATCCACCGATCGCTGTCTTTCTCTCTTTCTGCTGAAAACTCCATAAAGTGATTGGTGCCTCAACGGTCACACGTCACCGATCTGACTGGGTCTCTCTGCGTAAACAAAGTACTTATATGTTTGGATTGTGAAAAGTCCAGTAGCCTCGGTGGGATACGAACCCACACACGGGCGCTGCCCACGCCTTTGTACAGCGCAAGCTCTACCAGCTGAGCTACGAAGCCAAACCGGCGGCACTGATCTTTTCAGATTTGGATCACCCATCCAACTTACAGAGGCATCTCGAAACAACAAGTTTCCGTTTCAGCCTTTACAACCATTAACCGTGCATCGTTTGTGGTGGTTTTCATTGCTGTTCTATGACTGCCTATTTGGATAAAGCAGTAAAGGGAAGATTGGAATGCACAAATCAGAGTCAGACAGAAAATAGAGAATTCATGAAGAGCAATGCTGCTATGGCATTAAGAAGATGCACGAGTGCCACTATTAAAGACAATCCTAACCCTCATGTGACATCCTTGGTCTCACCAACCCACCACTCGTTTTTTCTTTGTTTGTAAACCATACACAAACAACTAATTATGCCTACCGATCTAATCCGCACACACGTCAAACATTATCCAAATGTGATATGCCTATTACCTATTTATATGACTGTATTAGTCAGATGAGGAAGTTATCGAAAACGAGCTTGTTTGCTATTTCATGTTTTCTCAAATATTATCACAAGAATCTTCAATGGACACCCAACTATATATCATTCAATGTCTCCAAGCCTTGGTTAAAATGATCCAAGCTTCCCCATCCACAAAGCCCTATGCAGCCTATGAGAGCGCGTTTCCTGGTCAGTGTTTTTATACCCTTATGCCAGGTTAAGGTCAACCGCGTAGATAAGAGGACCAGCGGTTCACTCGTGATGATGATTGGTTAACTAAGTCCTTGAATTTGGAATGTGAGCTGACAGCCACGGCAGATTTTCCCTAGAATCCACCGAAATCTACCGAATGAACCCCTAAAGTAGGCTTAAATGTGCAAAAGTTCTTTCTGGATGCGCAAAAGAACGAGGATAAAGGTTTCGGTGGACGTGGGGTATGCCTATTCGTCCACTCGGGACATTATGACTTTGTGAAGTAAGTTTAAGAACGCCGATAACCCTAGTTACCTAATTGCAGTGGTCACCCCCATCATCTTATGCATGCTAGGAATCTTGTAAAGTGTGCATTTCAATGTCAGAAATACGTACGCAATCGCATTTGATTCAAAGGAGTCGGTTTTATGTCATCGTTGGTCCCAAATTATCACTCTAGTATTGTAGCCACAGCTGAGGCAGTTTCCATTTATCTGTTAGCTCAGAAACAATTTGTGTAAGCACTCAAGCTCCCATGGCCGGATTGCTGGCAAGTGACCTGTCATGAAACATCGGAGCGAATCCGTTTCATTCGAGAGAAAATCGGCCTCGATGGAATTTACTCATTGGGTTATTGAGGGCTCAGACTGACTCCACTCATACAAAGAATCATTCTCACATTCACGTCTGGGCATGGTGACCGACTTATCGATCCATCTTGACGTGATTCGCTTCCTTACCCGACCGACAGAGGTCAGTTAACTCCGGGTTCCTTCATTCGTATCTACGACGCACACTCGATCAACGATCACAAACATAACGTTCCCGGGTNGTGTGCGGAGGACGCGGGAAAACGGTCCAACGCAAACACCACTCCCCCCCCCAGCCGAAACATTCATCCTCGCTGGGTAACTCACTCAAAAAGTACTTCTGTTTGTTGACGGAGAAGTAAGTTCATTCGGACGGGACGGGGTTTAGACGGACCCGGTGCAGTCGGTGATATTTGACGGCCGAAACACCAATAATCTTGTGGGGTTTCCAACGGAGTGCGATTGATCGGATTCACTTGAAGTTACAACGGGTTCACTTGAAGTTGAAAAGATATTAAAAACTAAGGGATAGGTATGGTTAGTAGTTATAGTAGTATAGTATAGTTCATCGCACTCAGCTTGAGTGGATGATGACGCATCAATTAGGAACTGGACAAGGGCGGTTCAACTAACAGAACTGGACGTGTGTTGTACATTTGACCGTGTGTGCGAGCATGCATGCGTGCCGATGTAATCATGCATGCGAGCAAGCACATGTATATCAGTATCAGAGGGGCAGGATGATAAAGGCCCTTAATTGATTGACTAGGCTTGGCCAAGTTGTCGGAAAAATGATCGACAAAATGTGACAATTCCATAGCGTCTTATAACAAAACTATTATTGACGCATAGCACCATTTGGATTAAACTAAACCTCACAGGGAACGATCAAGTTGGAAAAAATGGATTGTGATAAGTTTTATCATTATTATTACACACTGTTGTCGGATAAACATCCAAAAGGATTTTCAGTATTAGCTTCACAATCATTCATCATTCACTTTCATACGGTGGTTTACATTGCTGTCTTTTGGCAACCCATTTGGATGAGCCAGAGGGAAGATTACAATGTTGAAAGCAACTTCAATGTGAAAATAGGAAATTCAAGTTAACAAGGGTTACATATAGTTTGAGAAGATGCTCGAGCGCTGCTATACACGACACTGAACCATATCACGAGGTCCCCATCGACGAAGCGTAAGATGAAAATAAAAGACCAAATTGCAATACTGCACGATTTATGTCCAGGACGATTTCGCTGCATCTCAACATAGTGCATACTGCAGAAAATACAATACTTACATATGGATTTCGCATGGCAGCAAAGATGAGTAAAATACAATGAAGCAGAAAAAACATAAAAGGGGGAGGGGTAAAAAGACTATCACTAGGGTAAGGATAAGCGTAAGATGACCTACATGGTCGTGGTTTTCATACTTTTCTGCCAGGTAAGGGCCAATCGCATAGTCACGAAGATCTGCTATTTCCTCTTGAAGATCGGCAAACCGAGCCTTTGAATTTGAAGTAACCAACCACTCAAGACCCAACTAGACGAGGTGTACGACGGCAAAGCTGCTACCACCCAGGCTGGGTGGCGGTAACAGGATTCGAAACCGAAACCGTAAGTCCCAAAGCTCGCCACTTACAGTGGCCTAACCCACTTGATCACCACAAACCAACTGAGTTAATCGATTATTACCCGTTCGTTGGGCTGATCAATCCGACTGACACCTTCATGAAGCAGAAAAACAGCTGCTAATAATCGGTAACAATTGGATCAGCAATCGATTTACTTCGATCAGCAGGCGTCAGTGAGCAGTAAATGGATGCGAAGAGAAAAATGAAATGATGTAGGACTGGGGCATGTTGGAAAGCTTATCTTCTATCCGGTGACACCCTCTGATAGAAGTAGATTCGCAAAAGAAAAAGGAGATTCCATCGAATCAGAAAACAATCGTAAATACATCCCATTGTATTCAAGGTTAATCATAGTTTATTTAAAGGCTCACTAACTTTTGTTCAAGTTAGTGTGCAGGATGATACCACTGTCTCTATAATTTCGAACGGATACAAATCCCGGGGTAAGTATGGGGAGTTGCAACAACTCGGACGAGTTAGGATGCATAACACGTGTGATATTCTGACAATTCTATCGGTTAATCTGTGAAATTACTTGTTTATTGGCTGACAAAACGCACTATTGACTGCTGTTTCATCCTCCTTGGGAATTGGCACCAGTGCACTCCATGTTTATATCTCTGTCGGGATTCGAAATGTGAAATCCCGAGGTGAGGACTGAAAACTTTACCGCTGAGATACACGGTCCAGTCCTAACTCATCGAACACGGGATTGCATGAGCTGAACACGATCTCGATAATTGCACGCGAATTCCCAGATACATGGGTCCACCTACTGAAGTTCTTCTTCTTCTGCTCTGTTGACCACTTGGAATGACGATCGGGATCGTTTGTCGCCTTTCTCAGATTGAGTTTTAGTAGTTCATATTGGACGCAGCAACGCAAAATGAAATGAGTGACACAATCAGCATAGGTTATCTCCTTCATATTGAATCAGATTATAACAGGATCATCAAAATAGAACGTATGACTGAATACATCGAGTACAATATACATGATGCAATTAGGAGAATGAAACACATGGCACTGGGCAAACATTGATGAACTGTGGACATGAGAAGCAAATGTCAATCCAGCTGACTGCGCGATAAGCCATTTTCCCAATTGTACCAACCTGAAGTCCCCGTTTATGGAATGCAGCTTGGACAGCCCCCAGAGTGGAATCGGCCCAATAGCATGCACTGGTCGAGTTAACTGGTGGTGGTGGAGATCCAGTCCGCCCGTACGCACCAGCTCGTGAGGTTACTTCACCCAACCGCACGTGACTCGGACTGGACGCGTAACAGGGGGAGCGTGAACGTGATCTATGCCGACATTCCCCAATTCCACTGGTTCCGTCCAAATCCCCATGCATTGTGGCCTGCGCCAACTCACGTAAAGCTTGTTGCATGGACTGAACTTCTTCGACCAAAGCACGTGCAGCGGGATCTTCAATATCCGATCCCTCTGAAAAGGATAAACAATAAAGATATTGTATGTATGTCAGTGACACAACGGATATGCATGTCATCAACAGCCAGAAGCAGTCAGAGTAGAGGTAGTGCGAAAAATCCATCACACAGAAAAGAAACCTTTTAACAACTAAAAGTTATTTTGTTTTGCGTGAGATTATTTGTGTTCGTTTTCGTTATTCTCATCGGGTTATTTGTCACAAACACTTGTAGGCTGGGATGCACAGAGTGGTATTCTATTGAGTCAAATATTTAGCGACTTAAATCAGTCCTAAATACCCCAGTTCAACTGTCAGAAGGAAGCACCTAAGGCCACATCTGTTTTGTTTCCCAACTTGATGAGTGATAAATGATCATGCCATTTCTCGCTATTGTACTTTGGAGCCACAAGTGGTGACAGAAACCAAAACCGGCTCATAGAACTGCATTGTGTATACTTAGCTGAACTGAAGTCATGAGTCGAAAATGTGGTATATTCAGTAGGAGCTATTGTACCATAACAACCTTAGTCAAATGATGATTAGTTATGGGCAATAGCCGTGTAGAATAAATTCTGCCTCGTATTGACACTCTTCACGTGCACATCAAAAATTACTCAACCTGAATTGAGAAAACCATATCGAATTCAAAGCACAGTTCATTAGGTAGATTTCTAGTCGCTTGAGGCTACCTTTTCAAGAGCATATTTTCCGTTGTTATTAGACGGACCCCCAATAGGGATAGAAAATGAAGCAATATTATTGCAAGGTGAAAAACTTGGAAACCACTAAAATTTAAATTGTCATATATATCGTGTTGAAGATTCCAAATTATTGTTGTAATCCATTCGATTGGTCGATTTTCATGTTTTGATATGCGCACTGGAAAACAAGAAGCAACAATTCTGGTTGCTATCACTGTTGTGATTAACATTCGATGGATCCTAAGAAAAAGGTTATCGAATAGACGTTTTGTTTGTTAATGTATTTTTATAAAGTTGATTTTCGATTTCCGATAGATTTTGCTTCCGGTCTTTCACACATCACTTATGGTACATGATGGTAACATGTTGACTAGGAGAAGTTCATGCGGGACATTACTTTGTGCTACAGTGTCCATGAAGCCCACAAATATAAATGAGAGGACAAAGCAAGCAGACTTTGGCAAATTGGAAACTGTTTGAACCAATTAAGATTGCATAGACAAGCCAACAGATAGACAGATGAACGCGGTTGAATCGTGCTTTTTCAATTTTATCATTCTCCCTATTTCTCACCTCGACGACCGCATAATGATTGCCCGGTTCGAAGTCGTTGTAGGCTACTGATTGTTCGTTCCTTGTCTGCCAGTTTTCTTTGCACTTCTTCCAATTGGGATTTCGAATCGGTCAACTGCTGACCGACATGTCGTAATTCGCATTCCAACTGTTGACGCATCAATTCATTTGCCTGAGTGAGTTCTTCCATTTGACGTTCCAGCTTCTTTTTTTCAGTTCGTTCCCATTCCAAGTTTGCCTTAAAAAAGCAAGAGAATTTCATGGGAAGTTGTACGCTTTTCCCGCAATTCTCGCCTAGTGAAAAAGAATTTTTATGACGAGTTTGTGTTTATGTACAGGTAATTTTTTTAGGGGGATATTTTGCCAGTTGAATTAAACATAAAAAATCGAAATAAGGCAAGGTCAGTTACCAAGCGATATCATACGGGTTGACTATCACATGTGTAGTCAAACGTTCACAGAAAACCTGTACTGCCTGTTCTTTCATCGTTGGATTTAAAACCTACTAGTCAACTTTTCTGTCCAGCTAAAAACGTGTGAGAGAAAGGGCTATTTATTTGTGTAAAAAACATAGAAACCTTCGCGGTGCTTGCCTGATTAGCAACATGAGACTAATCTAGGACAGTGCTGCTTATTTTCACCTTTACTGGTTCTGAGATCACTATTTTACTTTTCAAACATAGCAGTTAAACTCAGGAGCATAAGCCGAGTGAATTATCCCGGATATAAACAATCAATTCAGTCTCCTTGGGATTGCCAGATGAGTGATCATTAGACCGATCCTTTTGGGTTGGTGCTTGCATGAACCCTGACATTATTGCAATAACACAATCTCCAGTCACATCTGTTGAACTGAATGCATGGCTATTTTACTGACCGACGCCAGTTCATCTGTCCGTGTGGTATTAGGTCTTCCACTGTCTGTGTAAACCAAGATGTATTGCAAGGAGCAGTTTTATCCCATTTCATCATATCCGATTATATTTAAAATTTACCATTGATCCCAACTGTTTTCACCTGTACGTATACTGACGAGGTAGTGGTTTGTGGTTCAGTAAGCCTCCTCAATCAGCCATAAACTCTGACGCCCAACGATGCAAATATAACACTTCCTTGAACCTCAACAAATGCATTGAAGTTAGCAGGAATAGCACGAGATAGTAAGAAATATTTACTGTAGGGTAAAGCGAATAAGGAAACACAAAATTCGGAAAATAATTGAATCACAATGAGTTGATTTCTCATTTTGTTTAATCTATCAAATAAGTATGGATAATTCATTTTGTTCAGTTATCAGAAAGGAGTTTTTTTTAATCTACTACTCTATCGTCTTCCTGGATCTCCTGTACAATGTGACTGAAAGTCAACTAAACATGAAATATACATCAATAAGATGAGAAGTAACAAAATATCATCTTTTGTTTATCACTGGTTTGCACTTGTCACATTCAGTTGTCTTCTAGTAACTTGTTGACTGATTGGTATGTTGCACTGTTTTACGGGAGAGTGATACCATCCTGCTATCATCAGTTGGAAGAGCCATCTTATTGTGGTGGGCTCCTAAACGGCTTCCTCATGCTCTTGCTAATGAAAGGCGCTCTCCCATATATACATATATATACATAAATATATATATATATATTTCGCACACGTCTGCTGCCCGACTTCATGCTCAAAAGTGAACTGTCCCATCAACTATGTAACCAAATGAAACAAGTAGATGTTTTTCATCAACAGTATTAATCAGTGGCAATTACCTGATTCTTGGCCTCTGTGGAACGGAGGTTGGTTGCAAAGTTCTCACAAGCGGACTGGCACACACGGGACATGCGTGCGACATCCGCTCGGGCCGAGCTTATCTCGCGTTCTACTTGTCCTTTAACCTCAACGAATTGACGCCTGCAACCGACCACAGCACGCCACAAAGTTAACAAACGTCCATGTTCCATGGTGAAATACTCATTGAATGCTGCCTCCTCGTTCCGCCATTCAGCCTCGCGTCGTTCAAGCAAATCTCGGAAACGCGCTGCTTCATCACGAAATCGTTGATTCTCAGAGGCTAAAGACTGATTTGCCTGAGTTGTCTGATCCAGCTGCTCTCGAAGCATGGTATTTACATTAGCGAGAGTTGATGCGCTGAAGCGAAAAATGGTATTGCACATTTCCGTAAACGATTTTCGGTGATTTTAGGTTGGTGTTCCAGTGTTGAATTCGCGGTATCACTTATAAAATCAGCAAATTATAAAATTGTATACAGGGGATCTATTATTGTGCTTAAAGAACTCTTGATCAAATGCGATGGAAATTTTTGTGATAAACAACAAAGCGCACTGGACAGTCGTTTCATACAAGATGAAATTAAAAGTAGTAGAGTTCGCCTGCGTCAATGAAGCAATCAATTACCTAATTCTGTGAAAACTTTCTCGTTGTCAACAAGTAGAAGTGCGAGATATGGCAAAACAGAATTACGATAATAAATATTAAATGCAAATTAAAGTTTTAACCTTGAGTGTGTGGACAACGTAGACAGATTTTGGAAGTTCGTTGTGAAATGGGTGAGGAATGTCTGAGAATATTTTGGAAACAATTTTCGCATGATTTTGGATATCTGTCTATGACAGAGTCTACAAGTTTATCTCCGACCATGCCAATACATTTAGAGATGTGCTTCTGAGATCACACCAAAAATTAAGTTTTTCTTTAACTTGCCGGGGAAAATCACTGGGGAGCAGTACAATCAGTGGAGGAGCCCGCATGTAATCACAAAACCTATAATCAACTTATGGAGAATAGAAAGTATCTTTCATCGAAGTGAGAAATACAATAGTTTTAACTTTACGGATTGTTTTCTGAAAGTAAAGTGACCATAATAAATTGTGTGATAGTGTGACGCCAAGGTATTTTACCATTGTGGATGTCGGTATGAGTTCACGATTGACAGAAAGGGTGAGAAAACTATTTGTGAGGGCTGAATATGGTTCGTCGGCAAACAACGAAAACACGCCATTCTGAAGTTTTGAGGCATTCAATGAAAAGAAACGTGACAAGGACCAACTAGTAAAATCGTTTAGTCAGCTCTGAGTTAAATCAAACAATGGAAATGATAAATGCGTTTCGTCTCAAGAGGGAAGTTCAACGTAGCTAATTAAGAACAATGAATCACATTTAATGTTGGAAATATTTGTGATAACTGACAAACACCGCTAGAAAAACGTTTCGTCCTATTCGGGACTTGTCAGCAGTGTATACTTTTTGTGTCCCTGTCAGGACTCCAACCGCGAACCTTCGGATTTGGAGTTGTAACCTTTACTCCTGAGTTGCATGGTATACAGTCATCATCTTGTGTGAATGGATCAGGCCATTTTGATTAGCATCTTTGAATGAGCGAATTCGATTATATCAAACATTACTGCTTGTCTTGAGGGTGGGTTTCACTCCTTAAGACACAGTTAATTCCCCTACCAGTTAAATGCATTTATGTGCATGGGAAATATCAGTGATCACCGCAAGGAGCCATGGTCAGTCTAGGGACTCCGAACCATCAACTTGGCTTATCTGAATCAGACACTAAATTATTTTTTTTCATGCGCACAAGGTGATGGCTGTCGACCGTGTAGCTCAAGGATGAGGGTTCCAACTGCCAATCCAAAGATTCAGGATTCGAGTTCTGTCAGGAACACAAAAATGTATGCATTGCTGGCGAGTCCCGGGCAGGACGAACCAGCTGTCCACTGCACTTTGTCGATCATCGCAGACATTTCCATCGCACATAAATGCACTTAACTGACGGGGATTTGATGATCTCTTAAGGAGTGAAACCCATTGCCAAGACTATTAACACTGTCTGGTGTCTGACAGCAATCAAACGGGATGGTCCAAGCGTGATGATTTGAAATACTCTAGTTCAGTTCGGCTACAAATAAGGTCTCACCGTTGCTGTTCTTCTTCGAGCCGACACAACGTGGCTTCATATTCCGCAGTGTTCTCGTCGAGCCCAGCCTGAAGACGGTCGATTTCGAACGATCAACAAGAAAGAGAAAATGCACGGGGAAAAAATAAAAATAAAATAGTCTCTGGTTCTTTCAAAAAATGGTGGAAAATTGTTGTTAAATTTTCTCCTGTTTTGTTTTGCTTAATGCATTATGGGAAGGTTCAAATGCCGAACTTCTCTTCCTCCCTGTTTATCCGCGGTTCTGCACAGCTTACAAGGTACGATGCAATCACAAATCGTGAACTTCGTCAAGCTGAATGTGACAAACGAAACAACTGAGATTTCGCGCAACAAGCAATTATTGGAAAATTATGAATCTAGAATTTACTGAATTAAGACAGATGCTCACTGCTTCCATCACCTAATTGGTCAACAACTTCCTTTTATGAGTACTGGATGACTAAAACATCAGTGTTTTTTAATTAATATTCAACGATCATGAAAACAGTGACTGAACACTTTCATACAAAACTCGGTTTTCGTATTTNATTTCCTTGGAAATCAACAACTTCCATATATCTCGAATGAGAAGGATCTCAGTGTCATTATTCAAGGCGACCTAAGCTCTTCTTGAAACTGCTCCCAGGCATCGTCTACCGCTGTAAGACACATTGGTTTGCTAAAACCAGTCTGCGGCAAATTTGGACCTATGCTGTTCCCACGATTGTTATCAGCCTACATTCGACCCCACATAGAATACGCCATTCAAGCATGGAATCCATGGCTGCATAGCGATCAAAAGATTCTGGAACGTCCACAAAGAATGGCCACCAAAATGGTCAATGGACTGTATTTCAAGAGTTATGAGGAAAGACTGGAATCACTGCAACTGTACTCCACACAGTATCGCCGCATTCGAGAGGACATGATCTTGGTGTATCAAATAATGCAAGATCCAGATCACACATGTCGTTCATTCTTTGCTTGCCACCCAACACTCATTTGAGAGGGTACTCATGCAAATTAGTACTCCAAAATTGCCGACTAGAATACCGGCGTCATTCATTCGCCCTCAGACTGTGCATTACTTGCAATTCTCTACCACCACATGTTGTTTATGCGGCCACCATTGATTCATTCAAGCACAGACTGGATGAAGCTCTGGAAAATCTTAAATTTTAACATCCGTAGAAGTGCACGAAACAAGGAAAAATTGTGACATTCATCTACTTTGAATGAACTGTGAATCGATTCATCTGTGCTAAGCCCTATAGAACTAGAAAAGCAACCGCTTGTAAGTATTTCCCATGATAAAAGTTTGGCTTTGACTTTGACTTTGACTTTGTGCTTTATGGTTGGATTATGAGTAGGAACTGTCAGTCGGTTGAGTGAATCCAAACATAAATTTTGTCGGCAAACCAAACCTGTGTATAAAAGATCAGATGAACTACTACTGAATGTATCCGTCGCCGACCTGTATCGGATCTTCAGTAAAATGGAAAACTGGGATGAAAGGTGACTCATCCACATGCTTTCGCGCAGGGTTCATTGGTTCTGTGTTCTGTCCATTACGTGGTAGTGAGGTTCAGGCATCCGGACGATCACCGGAGCTTTAATTGCCCCGGTACACCAAACTACGGGTGTGTCATTATCAACACAATCGTAAAACTGTCAGTGGTGTTCAATTATCCCGTTGGTGTGAAAACATGGCTTAGTCTATCGTCCCTAATCGGTTTGCGGTTTCTGAAACGTCCATAATGTAACCGTGCCAGATTTCTCTCACTATACCGGGTTTGAAGAGAACAAAGTATCTTGTTTGCGGCAGACATTGATCCGAGTGTGTATGAGGAAAATTCCTAAACGCAAAGTAAAACAACTCTCGGCATTCGCAATGCAAGATCACTTTATCGTTCAACTTCCAATAGGGCTCAAAAATGGAATATTTTAAGCTGATGCACATTTCCTATGAATGTAAGATTTGGAATCCTACCGAAACAACTGAACTTTTCACAATTCAAAACGGTACTTGAATCTGCCAAGCAAAATAATTACCTTATTTGTGTTCGTTAAAACTCGTTGCAATGCGTTTGAAAGAGACTTCTGATTTGAGCAACAAACCGAACGCGCGTGTAACAGAATTTTAATTTTGTTGTTTGAGGAAACTTCTCGGTGTCGATAAATACCAATATATGTAAGTATTAATACTTAACAGACATACTAAAGGTTAACACAAGGCTAATTTGTTTATGGTTGGAAGTTTCGGAAAACCAGTTTTTTGTTTCACCTTCAGAAACAATCAGTTCTATTTTCAGCTTATCGGATTTTTGCTGGTAGGGGAATAAAGGACCGATCGAAACCAGTTCGTACCTAATATTGAGTGCTTTGGATTGCCCAATGCTTCTCAGCCCTGTTCAGTTTGACAACTATTAACATTGCACTTTCATGCACCGGTTTCGGTTACTATCTCTTCACTGCCCAATGGGATGCGAGAGAGTAAAAGAAAAACTGAAATGTTCAAATCAGTGTCAGGGTGAAAATAGAGAAGGCATGAAGACCAATGTGGCAAGGACATTGAGTACATGCACTAGCGCCACTGTTTGTGAAAGTACATATCACTCGTTTTCCCTAACTATTGGCTACCAAGATCCCGGGTTCCTCATCCAGGAAACCCAACGCGGTTATTGTGAGAAAACTACTTGGTCATACCCTCATACCAGACCTTAGTTTGATCACTAATGCATCGAATGTTCCATAGCCTAGTTAGTTATGGTAAAACTGCTGGAGTTAATTGTCAACGATGATCTTAAATCGATCACTTAATTTGGGATGCACTACACCATACGAAAATGCAGTAAGGTTTCTATACTGTTCACACCGAGAGTTGAGAAAGAGACTTACAATATTGGTAACGAGAATGAAGCTTTCAAAGACAGATTTAAGAAAGCCACGTGCAGAAAACATGGTCTAGATTGAATTCGAGTGAGTACTCAGTGTGTTATGTGCTCTGATCATGGAAAATTTTAAATAAAAAGGAATGAATGCTACCTTCCATTGATGGATTGTCTTATCCATGTAGCGGGTGCTTGTGAGTACTCGTTCCGTTTGTGTTGTATCAAGTGCGCGAAACGAATATTTAAACTTAAATGGATTTGGGAAAGGAACGTTTATTTCCCAACATCAACCTCCATAATCCAGAGCAAGGGAGATTCCGCCGCATGTTAGCTAATGCATTCTTAAACTGAGAGAAGTGCGCTACATTTGCACTGTTAGATCCGTGTCAAGAACTAGAACATTAGGTCCTACCATATCTCACGTGTTGAACGACATTTTGAGCCAGTTTTAACCTTAATGCATCAGTGAATCTACCGTGAAATCAGACTGGGTATCACTAGTGAGGAGATTCTCTTGTCTCTATTTAAAATGTGTAAAGATCACATGCGTACACTTATTCCATCGGAAATAAATACGGCTTAAAGATGCATTTCTTTACTCACTGGAAGTGCTAAGCAAGCCATTCCTAAAACAGTGTTTTCCACAGCAGTTCATTCATAATTCTGCATAAAGTCTAGCCTCATTTGACAAGATTTTACTCGGTACGCTAATTTCACGATAGCATAAGATCAAAATCGTAGATGTGATTGAGGGCACATTCCTCTCGTAAACACCCGCTCAAACGCAGGCCTCTTCAATACTTGTACTAGGATTTCATTGATACTCATTCTGAAGCCTGTCCAGATGTTCAATGCTTATTAATTTTTTAGATCACACTTTATTCGGTTCGGACACGACGAAATTCACTATCACAACACAATCTAATCCGCCAGTACTCTCATGTACCAAGTGTCAGGTTTGGAATGTTTCCAAATGAGTCAGTACAACGGAGGCCAGTGCTAAGATAGACGACGTGTGATACCTTCATTAAGATCGCAAAGATGGGTTTTGCTATATTTTGAATATTCAAAATGGAATAAAAACGGTCTAATCAGCTGTCTGGCAGTCGAGTGGGTAATATGCTTGCGGTCTACCTGTGAGGTTCAGGGTTCGATCCCCAGTTGGGTCGATGGATTCGCACTGTTGATTAGACTCAAACAGGTCGAAACAGCTGTTTAGTGCTTCCAATAGCAAGAACGACCAGTCGAATTTGATCTAGTGAAGGCAATTCAACCTTTCTCTTATCTATCCCCTCCCCTCCTCCTCTCCACCACCAACGTGTCTTATCTGTGTACATTAACCAGCAATTTTTTCATTGGATTTGGGTCATAAAATGCGGGTCTCCTGTCCTAGGCGCATTCATTGTCCAAGACAAACACTATTCTGACCTGATCACGACAACTGGATCGAAGCGTGTACACACAAAACGCACCACGGATCAATCAGATTCCGCGTAGCGATAGTTTCTGTTTTTTATCGCTTTCGTATGCTTACCTCACCGCGGGTGTCATTCATCAAACCAGAGCATACACATTAGATCAGAATGGAGCTCTGATTTCACAAAGGGTCCCTGACCTCAGAAATCGAACAATCAATCAGGTCATACGATCATCATCTTCATCTAGGTCTTCTAGTCCACACACCCTGCTAATTTCCTTTAGGTTTTTTAAAATACACCATGCTCCCAGAACAGTTTAGAAGGATGTATGAGGAATTGTTTCAGATATATCTAATTGTCACAGCAGTATCGCAATGAAACTGTGCATGTGTATTGCAGTGTAACCTATACGCAAACTATTGGTACGCCTAAAGGTTGTTTACCATTAGTTAAGTTCACGTATGACCGTTAGGATATATTCAGTAAGTGGAATGACTGTTTCTCTNAGCTACCGATGTTTTGAACATGACACTCATTTGTGCACGATTCGAGAGTAGGGCTCACGGAAAATAGTTATGTATAAAATTTTGTGGCATATCTCTACACGAACAAAATTCGCACTGACCTTTCTGTTTTGATTTTCTGCCTCGGCCAATTGCAGTTTCAACTCCAAAGTTCGACATTTTTCTTTGTATTGTAAAACCTGGAATGGAAGACAGAGTATCTTATCGTTGGAAGATTCTAGTCAGGTCAAGTCAAACAAAAACAAAATTTGTGCATTTTCCTAAAAGTTACAGGGGAAATGTGCAAAAGAAAAACAAAATATATACGAAAAGGAATAACGCAATAAATGACTTCAAGTCAGTACTGATAGTTGACTAATTGACTAAGGTACGATGCTATTTCGGTATGTGGGGGTTCATGTGTAGAGAAACCTGAATTCGGAATGAAGTTGATCAAAGATTTCACCTATAATATCAAAGATGACAAATATTTGTTGACAGTCACGCAATATCTGATGAAAACTAAATGATATTTTTGATACACCGCAAATTTGGTGTCCATGGTTATTGATCCCGGCCCGAGTTCCCAAGATATCCAAAATACTACACCCATGGGTGTTTAAATGAATACCAAAGGGAAGCAAAAAAGTTTCCATTAAATAAACAAATCATTTAGAAGGGATATCGGGAAGATAAGAAAACGTCTCATGTCAATCTGGTATATATAAATCCCAGTTTGATAGAGTGTATATATATCGCAAAGTAAGTTCAGTTTCAGCTTGTAAAACTATTGAGCTGGTACTGTTGCGGGGTAGTTATAGGTGCTGCATTTGGCCACCTACTTGGTCGAACAATAAAAATCAAATAACTAGAAGAGTTTGAAAGGAAGTCAGTGCACGAGTGTCACCAGTTACGACACGGCGATATCACTCAGGGCCTCTACTCGGTAATTAGGTTGGACAAGAGGTCCCAACCTGCCAGTTCACAGGAACCGGGTCAACCAAGTACCCTAATTTGGGTTTTTCACACTCTCATAACATATCTTGGTTTGGCTAATTCTTGATTTCACTGGTCATAGGTTTCCTCAATAAATATCGATCACGAATATATAGTATCCGGTGGCATGCAGAACACATGCCCCAACCATCGTAACCTATTTTGGTTGAGTAGCCGCATCAGTGCGTAGCACTGATTATCTCAATCTCTTCGCCTAACCTCAGCATGGCTTTCAGATTATCCACCAACCTAGAACAATTCAGCGTATAAAGTGCTCCTGGAACACCGATAGAGTGCGTTTATCCTTTTCCCGAGACGGCCAAAATGCTGTCCTACAGTATCAACGGACAAACAGCTGCAGCATACGCGACCTTTCACAGACAGAAGGAATGGTGCGACAACGTCCTAGATTTGTCAAGTTGACAAAAGCAGCCGAGCTTTTAATATGCCTACTGAAATGGCTTGTGTGATATTTTTCTAGACGCAGCTAACCACGCAAATTCTCTATCGTCCAGCATAATGCCACGCCTATTCTAGTGAGACTTTGAGTAATTCACCTGTTACAGTCCCGAGGCATAGACTACTAGTCGCTTCAAGGGAAAAGTTGGTCCTTGAAACTATGCGGTTTACGCCATCTGCTATTAGTTACAAAAGTGCTTAATAATAATAACCGAATTAAACGGACAGAAATCATTATGCATACCTGGTATGAGGGTAGTTTTCCGGTGTACATTCATCCCATTGCATGCCATAGATTGCTGACTTCAGTTTAAATACAGGAAGACAACAAACAATTATCCATCTAGTGAATTTACGAGATCTAGACATGCCAAACTAATTAATTGAAAGAAATAGCAAAACCTGTCTCAATAAATGCGCAAGGTTTGCTGACCTAATATACAATAATCACTACTAGATTGCGTGCCTCCGGCGTTCGGGTTTATTCCAGTAGAAGGATGGAAATGACCAAATTAGGGTAGAAAAAGTGGTTCAATTGTGCAGTAAAATCCGTCGTGTATAGAGCAAATTAAACGTAAAACGAAACGCTGTAAAGAATTGTGCAGCTGTTTTCACCTGGTTGGGTTTCCTCAGCAGTGCCAGTTCATCGACCCAACTGGGATCGAACTCGGGAACTCACCTGAATGTTTACAACGGAGCCTAGTCGTGAGATGAGCGAGGCGTGATAAACGCAATAAGTTTGCAAATATGGGCTGTGCTGAATATTGTATAAGAAAAACGAAAAACGGTCTGGTCAGCTGTGCGGTGATCGAGTGTGTAGTGTGCTTGCGTTCTACCTGTGAGGTTCATGGTTCGATCCCCAGTTGAGTCGAAGGGATTCGCGCTGCTGATGAGACCCAAGCAGGTTGAAACAGCTGGCCACTTTTCCAGTTTACGCTCCAGTTTATCTTTACATGACCAAATTCCCCATAATAATTAGTAACCTTAAGTGATTCATTTCCATATTTTGTATTATATAGTGATGTTGTCATGAGCAATGAAAGAAAAACATTCATTTAAGTAAACCTGAAAGTCAGTAAATGAATATTTTGAGAGGAGTATGGGAACACCTAATAAATCAGTGTAAGCTTTTGATTTTCAATTCGATGTTTATTATTTAAAAAGAGAGATACTTTTTCTTCATACTATAATGGAAATGGTAAACCAGAAGTCAAGAAAACACTCATACAGTTGTGTAAAACGATTGATTATTTGAATCGATTTTCTCATTGGCAAACTCAATACACGAATGTCAATCATCCTGTGATGCTATAATAAAATAACAGCCTTATTTGTGACATCAATGTTTCTAAGACTAAATAGTATAAATTGCCCAGAATGACCAAATTCAGATCCCTTATTTGTACGTAAAAGTGAAAGAGAATGCCCTATTCAATTTGGTTGTTCCTTTCCCTAAAAAACAACTCCACTCGTATGCATCCGATACTGAACTCTTGTTAGGGCCTTTCAGCTAAGCAATTCTGATTTCTGACAGCTCCACAAAGCACATCCAATCCGGCAAACAAAAGAAGAAAGGTACCGTTACTCTGGCGATCAGTTTCTTTTAAACCAACATCCAATCATCGACTCGGGCATATGCTGGATTTTGGTGTGACCTGTGATGAAATGAGACCTGCAGATCTGGCTAGAAAGTAACTGGATTCATTTTAGCCAATACTCAGCAAGAAAATTTGTGGTTTCTATGCATAAATTCAGCTAATGATCAATAGTACTAGTGATTTGTTTCCCACGGGTTTTTTTCATCAGAATGTTGTTCTAACGGTCTTTCATAAAGGATAGCAGAGGTGATTGTGAGTTGCTTGATCTTTGCTTTTTCCGAATGTTGCTACTCCTTAATCGTGAGCATGTCAGGGAAAGGTCATGTGAGTTAATCGATTTGAACCATTGCAATCAGGTGAAACGGTTGGGAATGGTATCTAGTGGTGCTCACTTTGGTTTGTAGTCGTTGTACTAAATTGGACTGACGTTGTTGACCTTCCTGGTAGGAAGCCAGACGTTGCTTGTATTGAGCCAGCTCATCATCCAGTTTGCGACGGTAGTCCCTATTTTCCATAGACCAAGGAAGCGGAAGAGTTCGTGTTCCCGGGTTCCCAATTAGCGAATCTTCCTCACAGGATTCGCTGAATTCCTGTGATAAATCAAAGATTTCATGTGAGTAATGGAGAATTCCCATTTGAAATCAAAGATTCATGGGGAAAGAAATACGGGGATATTTTTTAATAACAGCTGGGGAATTCGTAGTAGTAAGGCACATGCAAGTTTACAGATAGCGCCAATAAAAGCATGGCAATACCATAAGAGCGAATACAATTGGATCTAAATGGTTTAACTTCGGTTTAAGATGACGGTTTACCTAGAAATAGTAAAAGGATTCGGTTTTAATGTATAGAACCATCTACGGTTGAGTTTCAGTCAAGATTTGGTACACCTTGGAGTTTTTGGACGTCAATAATCAATCAGTTTACTATTTCAGATAAAATGATTGTCGGTTTTCTAAGTTTCTACAAAATCGTTTATATTTATCATGAGCCCTGAGAGCTTTCTAGATTGCACTTTTCCGGCGAACTATGCGGCTTATTTTCAAATATGATTTAATTCCATTTATCCCCTTGATTTTATCAGAAGTTCCCCCCCCCCCCCAGGATATTTTGACTTTCATAGATGATTCAACCTTAGACAGAGCAGACAAGTTCAGCTCGTTTTCTTCTGGAAGAAAAGCGATTTAAATTTAACCTATTGGGCAGAAAGTAAAGTAAATGATATATCACATTTGGTATATGCAGCTCAGCTGCGGTAACAAATTCATAGTTCGCAAAAAATTAAACAAATAGCAATAATTTGCATGCTATTTTTTCTTATTCGCTGAGTGTCATCCGTGATCAGGCCTAATTTGTGAAGTGTGCAATACTTTAGTTCTCGTTTATTCATTCGCGAAAATGATAGACCATCAAAACTAGTAATAATGCTCTCGTTCAGCGTGCGCATCTATTGTTTTTTGTTTGTAAACGAATTGTAATTTTAAGGAAACGAAGAAATCTTTATGATCGTCAAAACTTTTAACATTTCCTCGTTGCAAAAATTCATCATCATTTAACATTTATTCCAAACAGTCACGATCCTCCTCCTCCGACTACTACTACTCCCTTGTGGGTGACAACTTGTTTCTGGCGTGAACAACAATATCCACAAAAGGGTTTGAATAAAAACTTCTATTTCATTCATTTGTTTCATCTTCACTGATATAGAGTTCATTCACGTTCACTGTTGTCATCCCTTTTTATCAACTTTTCATTTACATTTACTGAGACACGATAATCTCAATGTACATGGCATGGTCTTATCCGTGCATCTTTCAATAGGAACTACTAGAACCAAACCTGGGATCATTCGACTTACCCATCGTGCATACTTTTCACTTAGAAATCTAGAATCAAAGACTCTTTTGACACGTACTGCATTTTTCGAATTACTTTTTCCATTCAACAAGGACAGAAACGCAGAGAGTCATGACCTTGTGTGACACAATTCCGCGATGACTAGTCATTGCATGTTATTCGCTACTGGTGGACTGGAGACGCATCACAGCCGAGATTTGTTTCATTCCCCCAATTCAATCACTAAAACACTGCACGTGGAATCAGATACCAATGTGATTTCCGTGTTGCTCGATATGTGAAGGAAAAACTCTTGCAGAAAATGGCAGTTACAATTCAGTTAATCGATATGTCTCTTCAAACCGTTCTGATGTGATGATGCTCAATCAAGTTTACGAGATTTAGCTTCATCAAGGTAAAATGATACGAATCAAACCACGAACAGCCGAAAATGTGGACCCCCTAGATCCGCATAAAACTCTCGCATCAATGATTTAGTGTATTGATCGAGATATGAAAGTTCACTGCATGCGTCCTCAATGACTGTCTTGTGAGTTGGTTATGTAACCATGCTCTTGCAGGACTACGTTACACTCTTCTCATACTTCAGAAAACTATGCACGGAACGATTGTATTGTGTGAGATATTTGAGTAATATTAGAAATTAAAAATAACGAACAAATGCGCGGACATTGTGAATATATTTTCTAGGAATCGCGAGTATAACACGCTTGCACACGAGCACTCATTTCTCCCACTTACCCCGTCTTCGGGTTTTCTGCCTCGACCGGAATAAGTTAGATCACTCATGATCTATCCAATCCAAATTGGTGTGCGATTGCTTTGTAAATACGCTATTTGTTTTGGGCTGATCGGTGCCAAATAAACAATAAGTACGTCTCTAGCTCTCTGTCGATGAAGTCGCACTCTGGTTGCCTAGCCCGTTACGAGGTCACGACACACAAATACGAATCACCGCTCAAACACAACCACAAACACACACACACATGCATAGAATGCAAATCAACACAAACTGTCGGGAAAATCAGGCGGCCGATAGACTCAAAGTCAGCACGCACACACACCCACACACATCGCAATTTTAATCAAGCAATCACTGCTACAATTCTACAACTCGGCAGCGTGTTGATGACGGACAGATAGAGATGCGGACTGATTAAGTGATAAACAGACAACCTCCCAAATGACAGGTTGTTCTTGTTCGAGAATTAGCAATGAATGGTCTAATCGGTATCAGTGCACAAATGTGTGTCCATGATGCACACGTTCTCGTCAGTTTATTTCAACACACACACGGTTACCCCGGACAACTGACTTGTGTCATCATTGCTGTGCACAATTAGATGCACCCCTTAACCACGTACCAATAGGAGCAGGGTCTCGTAAAANCAATAGGAGCAGGGTCTCGTAAAAGAGCACTCATTAAATAGATGCATCATCGTTTGAGATGTGAAAAAAGAAAGAAAATCAAATGGGACCATATGGAAATGTGAAACTTTGCGGGCAATACGCTTTCCTCATGAGCTCTTTAATGTGTTCTCAATCGCAGACGTAAAACAAAAAAGCACATTTACATGCACATATTTTTATCACGGTCTAATAAAAAAACTTCAGTTTCAGAATTATCCTATTTGTTCAATAGGAATTTCATATAAAAATCCCCAAGATCAGTTTATCTGTCCTGAAATCGACATACATTGAATCCGGTTTTTCAAATATATTCAGTTCCAGCTCACCGCAGCTTAAATGTTGTAGTTTGGGATTAGTATGATTAATTTCGATGGAACGGGACAGTGGATATGCATTACTAATGAGTTATAAAAAGAGTAAAACTTAAGTCTGAATTCACTGACTGGTTGAACTTAATGATGTGCGTTACTATGGCATTGAAAGAATGATCATTAACATGTACATTGTTGTTCTAAAAATTTAGAACTCCAAATCTAGCAGACAAATTCGCAAATAAGGTTTTCTTACCGTCTGGAACTGTGCTCACAATTACCGAAGAAGGGCGAGTTCCAGTTGGACATTCAGCAGATACGATCGTCTGTCTGATAGCTTCCACGGTTTTGCAACAAGCTGAGGGCCATACCAGCAATATTTCGATGTCTACGAATAAATCACCTTGCTTCCGCATCATTTACTAACCCGAAATTTCTTTCTCCGCTACAAAATTACACCAAGATTGTTGAACAAGGGTGGTTTGAATGTACGATGGCACAACCAGTGGTGGTTTCTTCGATAAAACCGATCTCATTCTGCTCCCTCTCCACTTTCTCTTCGAGTGTTATTTCAACTTTCTACTCTTTGTTCTACCCATTCATCCAAATGGGTAGCCAAAAGACAGTAACCAAAAGGCCCACACGGTTCACTGTTAACAGTTTTACAAACTGAACTGAACTCAACTCAACCAGCTTCCCCGTGCCATAAAACAAACTCTTACCACTTAAATACCATGAAAATGTTTGTGATTACCGACATAGAGCACTGGACAGCTGTTTCGTCTTGTCCAGTGCTCTTTTTCGGTAATCACAAACACTTCCAACTCATTTAAATGCATACAACTAGTGGGGAATTTACGACTTCCCAAGGAGTGAAACCCACACCCAAGACCATCAAGAGAGCCTGATACCTCTGAACAATGGAATGGGCTAATCCAAACTTGATACCCTAAGAACTCATACCATCTTAAAATGTCACTAAACTGTTTGTGTTTTCCGGTCGACCTCCCGACTCTCATCCTTCTGCTTATAGTCCATAATGGGAAAATTCGCTTCACTGTTCTGCACAAAATTTCTCTATTTTGTTTCTACTTCATTTGCTCTGAATACGACGAAATTAACTATATAAATGAACAATCATCTTAGTGTTAACTTTTTCTATCAGTTGGCGAAGATGTACAGTTAGATGCTATTCCGTTTAGTGTGCTACTATTATTTGATCAAACCTATCACTGAGGGAGTTTGAAATAAACTAATCGTTACCTTTCAAAATAGGAACGGGCTTCTAAACCATTTTTTGTTGTTGTAAAAAGATAACTTTAGTTCAATTAAAAAGTGATTAATGATGGAATTTCATGCCCCTTTTTTGGTTGCTATCTCTTTGTTACCCATTTGGACAAGAAAGTAAAGGAAATATCGGAATGTTCAAATCGGCGTCAGGGTGAAAATAAGGAAGGCCAAAAAATTTCAAGGACACTTCGTAGATGCGCGAGCTCCACTATTCACAATATTGCCATATCACAACTACCGGTTGCAAAGATCTCGGAGTCTCCATCCAGGAAACTGTATCCCACCTATATGAGCAAGTCTCTTGGTTAATTTTTCAGGCTATCATGCCCAAGCAGCTAGTGTTTTGAAAACCAGGCAAGCAAATTGGATATAATCTACGTAATGGATCTCTACCAACACATAATGGCATTTGAAAAGCAAAACAGCATAACGACATGTCGTGTTATCCCATTTGTCATATTCACCTGGTGCGCTTCACATTTCAGTAAACCGGTAATGCTAGTTTTTTTTAATTTTCACATTTGACTGACTCAACAATGTCCCAGATTCGAAAGTGATATTTCCTTTTAGGTAGGCAGGTAATACTGATAAATATCGAGTTAAGACTGTGCTGCAGCAAAGTACTTGAATGACTAGTCTGTGGTGAT